CACCGCCCACGGTTTTGTGATTGCCCAGCCACAAATTAAACGATTGCAATATGCCGGAGTTTGTTGGTACCATAGAGGCGCATCCACCTATCGCCGGYGACGTAGTGCCCAACACCTTTACGYTAAATYTCTCGTCCGGCTTTCCAAATGGAGGRCAGAAYCTTTTGATTTGTTCTAAGAYGGTTATAGAAAAGAAGATAAATTCAACATTAAATTATAAGCGTATTATAATGTTTACATAGGTACAATATTGTTATAACAGATGTTTACAAATATGGCAGTATATAGGTAGGTCGATGATTTDGTTATAGTTGGTTACTGGTTTTAATGTAGATAATATACGTTTATTGTGACAGCGAAGAATCGTCGTGGTGCTGGTCCAATTACGCTTGAATATCGCTAACATTTTTATCCAAGTTATATTAAATGGGCAAATTGACTAACCGCACCTTCTCTCTCTAATTCCTTCAAATGACCCTCCACGCTTCACTCGTCAACACACCTCTTTCAATTTACCTACCGCCTCCACAAATTACGATTTAAATGAACCACTTCGACGCCGTATGTCTATTGCTAATTCAGTCCCCTTCTTTTCTATTTCATAACCTACCCCCCAAGTATTTATGTATCTCTATATTTCACTGTTATCACATTATTGTAACTGTTATATTAATATTATATGAAATTGTATGCTAAATAAATAAATAAATAAATATTGAAATCAATACTCCCGTTCAGTAATCACGCTCACAAAATTTTAGCTGATATTGACATTACTTTTAACCTAACCTAACCTTGATTAATTAATTGTAATTTCAATATAACGATCTGGAAGACTGATTTCGTCGTAGAACCCTTAAAAGTATTACCATGTTACAAAAAGTCCTATACAAGTACTCGATTAAACCGGCTTCTTACAAACTAAWAATATRATCATTAWAATCTCGCTCTTATAACTGCTAGGTATATAATTGGCATACCTATAATATCAAAATATATTATCGTTAGGTTATGTTGATTTTTAAAATAGCTTACTGWAAGAGTAACCTATTCGGTACCCACGTAAATAAGGTGCGTAATATACCGTTGTATACTGTATAAAGAAAATTCAAAATATATAAGTAGCTATATGATTCACAATAGGTATAAATAACTATATTAAAATGCGTTATTGTCTTGTATATAGGTTATACATAGACTTCAAAGTCTAAACACCTAAACTAGAAATCAACACGATTGTTCAATAAACAATTTTGTGGAGGACATCATAACGTATATTATAATACGATATTTGTTTCGAAATGAACGCTTGTGCGACTTTTTACATATTTAACAACATGTATAGAATAGGTATTCGATAATACATTTAATAGTAATGAAATAGTAGRAGTATGGCCCTCTCGCTACTCCCATTGCTACAATCCGTGGGTTTTCCACCTCACGCTATTTCATTGTTGTGTTTATGTATCTTAGCTATCAAATTAACATATTCTATTGTATATAAATACCATTATAAATAGGAATAATACACACTAAAGACGAATCGTACGGATAGTCGGTTCATTAATGGTTGTACACACGAAAACTAACGAATACTCACAGGTACCTACCAATATATTGTTTATGAATTATTATATAATACATAAACAAGGAAAAAAAAGAATGATTCTTTCTACACGACCATCGAAACACATTTTAAAATGTTATTCGTTGTTTAAATAATTATGTTTTTGTCTTTTTTTTTGAAAATCGTAAAATAATATTCAACAACAAATGGCTATTATTTATAGCTATACGAAATGAGTAAAATAAAATGGCTTTTTGTAATGGATTTATTTATCATAATTTATTTATGTGAGGCATATAGAAAAAATACAATATAATACTATAAATAATAGTTGTGCGTACCTATAACTGTTAATAAAAAATGAAGAAGAGCAAATAAACATTTTACAAATAACATAAACTTGAAAATAAAAATTTCTATAAGTAGGTACCTACTGCTAATACCCTTTGCGTATCATATTATTATTACTATATTGTTATTATTATTAGTTGAGTAAAATTGGGAAATATTGGATAAGTACCAATTTA